TTTGCACGGTTTACACAAATGAGGGCGGTTTTTATTTGATCACTCCTATATATATATATATATATATATATATATATATATATATATATGGTTCTTCTTGACAATAAAAGAAAATCTAGCTAGCTAGCCCTTTTGCAAATTGACCCTAGTTAATTATATATACATGTATTTGCAGGAAAAAGATGGAGAATGTTGCAAATAAGCTGGAAGTAATTGCAAATGATGTTACTCAGATCATGGGAAACAATAGTGCCAAGCAACCTCGTAAGAAGATTAAGGAAAACGAAACCAAAATGACATTGTTCAAGCATAGTAACTCGTCTCTTCAACCTCACACCCCTCGTTCATCCCATACTCCACGTGCATTGGATGGGTCTAGACGGGATTCAAGCGCATTTGCTATAAGCCTTCATATCCCCACCGAGGCTGGTGAATTCCGTCTCTTGTCTGAGGGAGGACCATACTCATTCGGTACCAACCCAAGCACCATTGTGTTCACCGTTGGAGAACAACTTGAGGTATGTAATCCTAAAACGATCAATTTAACCCTTTTAATTGCAATCGATGTGATCAGATTGATAATAACCTTGATGGTATGTACTTGCTCTTAAATTGTGAGTCTTCTATCTGCTAAACTTGAATATTTTTTTCTTTAGATATGGTAGAAGATCTCTTCTTTTCTCAAGAACCCTTTTGGAGGGAAAAAGATATCATGTTACCCCTTCCCTGTATCCTCCAATAAGACGTTGACATTTTGTATTTTTCTATCTCCAAATACCATTTAATTTATATATGGAGCCGTCCATTTATATAACCACCCCTTACAGTTATGTGTTGGCCACATACCCTTACACTTCACATGTAGAAATTTTGAATAGAGGAAAAGGAAAGGAAACAGGGAAGGGATAACATGTGATTTTTTTGGGAAAGCAAGGGTTCCACACTTTGAAATCCCCTTGACTTGGACCGTGTTAAATTCAGGTCAATACATATTGAGATATTCCTTCTCTTATCAAAAGCTTTTTTTATTGGACAATAATCTAATAGAGTTTCACATATTTTGCCTCGACAAAAAGAGATATCTGGTATTGTTATATGTTATAGAATTAATTATATATAATGAGTTTGATTGTGTGGTTAAATGGTATGGATAAATTTGGGGGTTTTATATAATAATTAACTAACAAGTTTGATAATGTTATATATATGTATATAAAAAAATATATACATGAATAAAGGAATGGAGCTATGGAGAGTTCAGATCTGCATTTGGGGAGATAAACATAGAACCAGATATCCAAGATGAGAAAGGAGCATTCTCCATTGAACTCAAGTGTTCACCTTCAAATCTAAATGATGCAGTTGACAAACATGACACCATCTCCATAACTGATCAGATCATCTTTGTAGTCATAGTTGCCATACTATACAAATTGTTTTCTTTTTTACTTTCTTAATTCATTTCCAAGGTGAACTATGGTCAACTCTCTACATATCTACTTAATTTCCTAGCTATGCTCCAAATCAAACAGCAACCTGCAAGCATGGATATATTTGTATTAGATTGTTTGTCTTTAATTATTGAATTTATGTTCTTTATGTTCGTTAGTTGTTAGTTGACGATCGATGTAATAACAAATATTCAATGACGAATTTGTTTCTTCTTCTTCTTCTTCTTCTTCTTCTTCTTCTTCTTCTTCTGCATTGTAAGGTTTTCGCATTTATCTATAATGTCACAACTCTCATGCAATTTGATGTTTTAGCTAGGGAATCATCAGGTCTTGTTGTGTAGTTGGATTCACAAGAGTATGAAAGGATTGGTAGTTATGTAACATCCTAATTTTCGTCCTAGTTGAAGAAAGTGTTGGACTGAGAGATCCGGTAAAGAAAAACCAAGTATGCTCGTCTCGACTATTGTGCCATGTGGTTTTGACGTTTGTCACATACCACATATGGTATTAAGAGTATGGTCATCTTGACTATTATGCCATGCGGTTGTGACATCTGTCACAGTAGCACCGATGAAACTGAATGTTTGGAGGTTCTGATGATTGTGCCATGCAATAGCGACAATGGCACAATGTAACAACTGGATTTTGGTAAAGTGAAATCCCGAGTTTTATCTTTGTTTCTACCCCTAGAATAGTTCTATTAAGTATTTTATGGATTGGTGTTGTTTGAGTATGAAACTGATCAAGAAAATTCAAATGGGTGAAAATTAGGAAAAAACACCTGGTACGTACCCGACTATAGTGACTGACAATAGTGACATATGGCACAATAGCATGTCAGGATCGCCTGGTCACTAGGGACAAAACTCTTGGTAGTTTTTGGGCGACAATGCCCGGCGATAGTCCTATGGCACTATCGTATGTCAGGGTTGCCAAGAGGGGCACATGCACATTAGAATCCGATTTTCAGGATTAAACTTCATTTGGCCATATCTCTCTCATTTTTACTTCGTTTTAGGGATTTTTGTTGCTATGGATTCGTGTTTTGAAGCTCTTCAATATGGATACAAATAGGGTTGAAGTTTTCTTGAAAATTTTGGGTTCCTATAAGTCGAAAGGTAAGCCTCTATTCAATCGTGTCTTAACTTAAGGTTGGTACTTTTCACCCTAACCCTCATTTCTTCTAACGGGTTTGTCTGTGTATGTTTTTGGAGTAAAAAAAGTGTTCTTGAGAAGCTATACATGTTAGATCTAAAGCCTAACTTGGGTATTTCAAGTCTTCACTAAAGGAAGCTCAAGATTTGAGTAAAAACCTAGATTTAGCCTAAATCTAACAAGTTGAGTTCATGTTGCTTTTTAAAAATTATGTATGTGCCAAAAATGTCTATTTTAATGATTGAAATGTTTTCCATGATGTTTATCAAATGTGGTTATTATTTGATCAGGTTTTTATTTTGTACAATGGGTTTAAAAATTTGGAAAAATACTCGTATTCGGGGTTTTTAGAAATTGTTGATAACTAAATCATCAGTGTGGGTTAACTTGATGATTTATCTCATAAATGGAATTTTTTTGGCATTAATGCATTTTAGTTAATGGATTTTATAAGCCGTTTGGAAAATTTCTATTATTATGTTATGAGATATTTTGGAAATGATAGGATATGTTTTCATTTAGAAAATGGTTTGTCTCAACCATTGATGGGTTTTTGAGTTAGTTATCCCTTTGGAGCATGTATTTGCATAAACATTGACTAAATACATTTTACTCCTTTTGATGACTTTTATTGTATAATCAATAGAGTTGTTGAGATTTTGGCTCGGTTTTGACTCAGATAAGTCTTGGGGACATGTGTCTGGTTTTATTTGCTCTATGTCGAGTCTTTGGAGTTATATGTACTATGGCATATTTATTTGATATATTACACATTGTGGATGCGTTAGTTATTCAATTATTGTCGTGTAATTTGGACTATAATGCAATGGATCTATAGGCATAAGAGTTGATTTTGAATGCGGTAGTTATCTATATATTGTAGCTAGAAAGTCTATTCAGTGGAGGACTCGAGGTAGAGAGTTGAAGAGTTGAACTTGATGTTCGTGTGATCTGAGTGGCGGACTCAAAGTAAAGAGTCGAAGAGTTGAAACTTAATGACCGTGTAGTCCGTAGTGGTTATCATTTCTAATGAACGAGCTTAACTTGGATTTTTTTGGAGATCCCGCGGTAAAGACTGAATAAGTTGAACTTGATGACTCCACAAGCAAAAGACTTGAGGAATTGAGCTTGCTAACTTGATTATCTATGAGTGACGCTTATATAATATTGGCTTGTGGGCTACTTATGTATTCCATCACAACAAATGGTAAATCAGATCTCCCCCATCATTTTATGATGTTTTACACACTTCCAAGGGTAAAGATGATTTAATTATACAAAATGACTTGATTAAAGTGAAACAACCCACCACGCACTAAACAATATTAATAATAAAAAAACTCATACATTTTCATACATCATGTACCCGTAATGTACAAACATTTCAGGATATATTTACATTATGTTACAAACATTTCAGGATATATTTACATTATGACATATCAACTGTATAGGTTAACAAAATTTTGGTCATAATAGAACTTTCTTCCAAATATTTCTTCCTTTTACATCTTCCCCTTGCCTTTATTCTGAGATGTTGGATGACCTGCAAAATAATTTATTACAACAATTGAGGGTTAGACCAAAAGGTCTAGTGAGTGAATTAACCTCTTATAAACATAATTTACTGCAAATTCCAAGATAGTTCAAACCTGAATTTTAACGTTAATTTAATATCTTAGAAATCCTGCCAATCCATTTATCATGGTTACACCGTCATTTCATCTATTGCGGTTACACCGCCATTTCATCTAATAATAGCCAACCAGATAGTATTTAATTATTGAAGAGATTATTGTACAAAACTTAGTTCTATTCAGACAACACTATGTTCAGAGAGGAGGTTACTGAACAATTCTTTGATCTTATCCGGACAACACTCTGTCCGGTGAAGGGTTATCAGACAACCCTATGTCTTGTCCGGACAACATTATGTACAATGGAGGGTCATCGAAAAACACTTGGTCTTATTCGGACAAGCCTTGATCGGTGAGGGGTCCTATCCGGACACTGCTTTGACTAGTGAGGAGTCTTATTCGGATACTGCTTTGATCGGTGAGGGGTCCTATTCGGACACTACTTTGATTGGTGAAAATTCTTATCCGGTGAAGGGTCCTTACCGACTGACCTTGTGAGTGATGAAAGGGCCTCATTGGTCATCGCCTTATCCGATGAGGGACCTCATCGGACAAGCCTTGTCCGATGAGAGTTCTTCTTGGGAGGTTTATTGGGCGATGAAGAAAGTAGTAATCTCAATGCATTTAAAACCCATCCATACAACATTAACTAGAATTCTAGCAGTATATACTGTGAAGATATAACAACCAGATATATCCAAAGCACTAGAGAACTCAGCTTCGCCAAAAAATGAATTTGATAACTGCTTCTGCTTCTGTATCCTTCAATTCTTGCCAAGATAAATGTTAAGAGAGAGAAAATTATAAAACCTTTCCCACTCCACACATACTTACTATAAATAGTAAGTACAATGAAGCATACTTGATGGGGATGGTGCATGAGTAGGCACCTCCCCCCACATGCAACCATCCCTTAAAAAAATTAAATAACCATAAAGGTTATAATTCTTTTCATAAACTAAGATAAGAAAAGAATTACAAACTTATTCCTCTGCAACCTTTCAAATACCAAATTCTAACCCCGAAGTTACCATTAACAAATACTTTACAACCCGATCAACTATATCTGAAATCAAATAGTACAATATCCTCTCCTTAGAAGAATTATATCCTAGAATTCCACTAAGTAAGCAAATGAGGATATTTTACTCGCATTTCTGATTCAAGTTCCCAGGTGGCTTCTGGTCTCTTATGATAACGCCGCTAAACTTTTATAAACCTGATTTCTTTATTTCTTAGCGCCTTTATTTTGAAGTCGGTAATGGCTTCAGGGGTCTCTTCAAAACACAACTTTTCATCAATCTGAATCTCCGGTAATGGCACAACAACCTCTGGTTTTTCCAGGCATTTCCATAAATTTGGTACATGAAAAGTGTTAGGAATGCCACTTAATTCCACATGAAGATTTAGTTTATATGTCACTTCTCCAATTCATTCAAGGATGGAAAATGGTCCAATATACCTTGGGCTCAACTTGCCCTTGTTTCCAAAACGAATCACTCCTTTCCAAGGTGATACTTTCAGCATCACATCATCACCGAGTTGAAATTCAATCGGCTTTCGACATTTATCAACATAACTTTTCTAACGATCTTAGGCTACTTCCATCCGTTCCCAAATCTGACTAATTTTATCTGCCATCTGCTGAACTATTTCAGGCCCAGCCAACTGTTTCTCACCTACCTAGTACCAACACAGCGGTGTTCGGCATTTTCGTCCATACAGTACCTCAAAAGATGCTGCTTGGATACTCAAGTGATAGTTGTTATTGTAGCTGAATTCAATTAAAGAGAAATGATCATCCCACTTTCCTCCAAAATCAATAACACAAGCTCGAAGCATATTTTCTAGTGTCTGATTGTTCGTTCACTTTGCCCATCCGTTTGTGGATGATAAGTTGTACTTAACTTAATATGTGAACCCATTTCTTTTTGAAGACTTTTCCAGAACATACAAGTGAATCAACTGTCTCGATTAGAAATTATTGATAACGGAACACCGTGACGTGTTACCACCTCATCAATATATAATTTTGCTAACCGGTGCAACAAATATGATTCTTTTATCGGTAAGAAATGAGCAAACATAGATAATCGGTCCACAATAACCCATATTGTGTCATAACCCTTCGGTGTTCTAGGTAACTTGGTTATGAAATCCATAGTGATGTGATCCCATTTCCAAATTGGAATTTCTAATGACTGTAACTTACCGTAAAGACGTTGATGTTCTATATTCACTTGCAAACATGTCGTACACTGTTCAACATGTATGGTTATATCTTTCTTCATACTCGGCCACCAGTAGAATTGTTTCACATCTCGATACATTTTGTTTGTACCTGGGTGGATAGCAAAATGAGATTTACAGGCTTCACTTAAAATGCGTTCCCTGAGATTACCATAAAACAGTACCCAAAATAT